TAGCAATACTCTGCAGCTTTGAGTCACACTGCATTTATCTGTCTTCATGCTACTTTCAGCTTGATACAAAGATGTGAAATAACTTTTACAGTGCAAGTTATTTTGTATTTTTGCTGACTGATTTATATGCAACTGGCATGCTCTTTTTCTGGTAACTTATAAAAAGTAATATATTACATTAAAGGTGGCTTAGCAGCCGAGTGAATAATGCACAAAATACATACTACTGACTGAGTGAAATGAGTAGCTGTACACAATATTTATACCAACCATCAATGTGGTTGCTAGCTAACCAGATCGAAGTGATCTAAATATCGGATGGCCGTTTCACTGACTGCCTGACTGGTTTCAACATAAAACTGCGCATCGATGTGCAGCATTTTGAGTCGCCACACTTCCCTTACCACACACAGCAAGAGAAGAAAGTAAAAAGAAATGAAAAATGGAGACAGTAAACAGAGATTTAAGGCAAAAAGAATAGTAATATGGAAGAACAATACAGTTTCATTGGAAATTATAAGTCACAAGGAGGGGATGCATCTGCGCCAGCCATTGAGAACGATTTTGAGCCATATCACCGACTGTCTTCAGCCATTGGTTTTTACTGTCCCGAGCAGCCCAACCAGTCTGGCGATCAACACCTTCCTACGTGGCTGGCTTAAACTAACTGTTGTAGATTTCATTGACTGATGAAGCCATGTTTTAGTTTGACTACAGTTGGCTCTATTCCAACCTGACCCTATATCGGCTAACATTGCTCGTCGAGGAAGGGGATGGCTAGACATGTGTCACACATGTCATTACCGTCACAACCTCGCCTATTGATTTCCCCTCCTTACCTAACACTCAACGCCTAACCTCAGTATTGCTTACCCTATTATTCCACTTCACACGAGAGATAGAACGCAGGCAACTATGATCAAAGACAGCTAGCTAGCCTTTCCATGTCTTCCACTCTCAAAGACCAGGTCTTACAGCCATAGAGGAGGACGTAGCGGACTGCTGTGCAGTACACACGTCCTTTGGTCGATAGCAGGTTATCAGTTCTAGCCAGAGATGGCGCAAAATGGCATATGCGAAACTAGCCTTCTGTATATGTACTGAGATTTCGTCAGAGATCAACCCGTTGGGGCTGATGGTACTTCCCAAATAAGTGAAGCGTCGGTGGCATAGCGGTTAGGACGCTCGCCAACCATGAACATGGTCCGGGGTTCGATCCCCGGCCACCGAAGCACTCCTTCACCTTGCTAAGCCAGAAATAATGCTGGTGAAGAGGAAAGGCTGGACATGAGGCTGACTAGCAACCCCATCCTGTAAAATAAGCACTGCTACAGAAACTTCAAGCCACTAGCTTGAAGCCCTATGTTCCGCTGGGGAAGCTGAAGCAAAAATATAAGTAAAGCGGTCAACGTGCTCTACCACTTAAGTCCCTATTTCTAAACTAAGAGTCATTGTAGTCTAGTTCTATAGCATCATCTTACGTTTGACAGCAGGAGCGAATCGCATGCCAAACATTCTCAGATTGCAGCTCAATGTGTTCAGAAGACTAAGCATTTTGTCAGCGTCTTCACCACCCAGAAGGCCCATATCATCCGCATATTCTAAGTCAACAAGATTTTTCCCTGGTGGTAACAAGTCAATCCCTGAATCTCTGAGGTGAATTAGGGTTAAGTCCATTAGTACGTCAATGGTGAAATTGAATAGAAATGGGGATAGTGGGCATCCCTGTCGGACACCACCAGTTGTCACCAACATCTCCGTTTAGCTGGTCTGGGGCTGAGCTCATCAGTTTAAACCATCCGATTTCTGGCTAGCCACTTGAGCTAATTCAGCTGTCTGAACTGAGTAAGACTGGGTTCACTGCTAATGAGCTTGGTCACAGGCGAGTGAAACGGTCTCCCATCGTTTAGACCACTCTGATGATATGACTAGCAAGCACACTGCTGATTGGTGTGAGCGGCACACAACTACTCACCTTCGTTAATCAGTAGTATATAGCCCCACGCATAAATAAACTTAGAAGAATCACACTTGCTACCCTTTGTAGAAGTGTTGACTGTCATGCCGTAGTGGCCCAGTGTATTACACCTTGGCACTTGAAACGACAGATTCAGGGTTCAACTTTCAGTAGAAATACTATGATTCACTAGGAATGAAGGTGTCACCAAATGATGAGTCACGAGTAGACTGAAAGACGCGCCCTGTATCACACTACTAGTCACAATCGACCAGTGTCCAGCGTTCAGAAAAAAGTTGACTAGAATAGATTGACACCACCGACAGAACTGTATTAGGTTTTATCGATATTTAAAGTGTCAGTCGGTTCTTATAGATACACTGAGTATTTTGTGTTTTTCTCTTATGATTGTCTCTGTAAATGCCTGTATACTGTTTCAAGAACCTGGAAAAACGCATCATCATGGATAAAATATGGAAAAGTTAAAGAATACCTATCCTAGCAATTCAACCTCACAAAAGACTTCCGGGGTTGACCATTCAGAGAAAAGCAGTATTTGCTAGATAAAAATACTATCTATTTTTGCAGGCAAAATGGAATAACAGGATACATCAAACGGGATATTTCTCCTTTACATGGCTTAAGAATATTTGGTAATTGTGATCAGGCCTGTCAGTGCTGAGGTTCAACTAATTTCTATATATAAACTCATCAAAATGGCCATAAATAAATTCACCAAGTGAATCATTTATTATATGTGTTCTGTTTTTAAACCTTCGATAGAACTGGCATGTTTTCTAGTTTACGGGGTCCACGGAATCAGTAGAATGATTTATTCTTTGGCGAATATAACCCAAAGATGATAAGGCATTGTAACCGGTTGATTCGCATGTAAAAATGGTGATACTAGGACGCCCTAAACGTTCCAGTGTTGGCAGAAAGGGTGGTGGCACTGAGATTATGTATGAGTTCCACAAAGCCTTCACTGATTTTAACATGACAGATCCCCAAAATTCAAAAGCTATTCACCCTAGAACGTCTATGATTGTATTTAATTTTTTAATAAAAACCTCTTTGTTTACATAAACGACGACTGCAACACCTAAAAGCTGTTTGACGTTCTTCATTTTCCAGGAAGCCATTCCTCTGCGGTGCTGATACCTTTGCATAGTATATACTAACGAATTCTTTATCTGTGTGGCAGTAGCTGTCAATTCACTCATAAGTGCTCAATAATAAATAGTCAATAAAACGTATATCTGGAAGTGATCGTTTCGATTTATTAAAGAAAGTTCCCAGAAATATAAATGAATTAAGCATATAATTTATCCTATCGAATATTAATTCTTCTTCTGATACAAGAACACCTATATATGTGTTCATCACTTGCTTCCGAATAGAGTTGGGTGTAAGCAGAACTTCCACAAGAACATTTGCGAGTACTTCCTATCAACCCCTTATTGCATACAATGTTTTAAAATGAGATCGAAATGAAATTTGCTTCTCAACTCGTGAACAGCACTCATAGTCGGGGGTTAACTAAAAGAATCGCAACCATGGAGTGCAAACGCACCAGTGACCTTAAACGCTTACCATTCTCGTTGAATTGCAGTACCTACTGTTATTACAGCGCCAGAATGAACACTGTGCACGAAATGATGTGGGTTGTTAGTATGTTAGGGTTAGGCTTATTATAAGGGTTAAAATAAGGATTAAGTTAGGGTGTTTTATTGTCGTTTGCATTTTTACGAGTTTGACCACAGACTGATATGTTAGAAAAGCATTGAAAACCAGCACTGGAGTCCTGGATAGATGTTTCATCCTAGTTTGAGAACCATCGACACTACGCACTCAACACAGGGTTATGAACCTAAGATCTTCCGGTTACAAGGCAAGTTTGCTCGTAGACCATTAGGCCAGCCACTGGGACCCTATTCAGTGACTAGTCCATGAATTCTAATTTCTACGAATTCTTGATATTTGGGTCGACCATCAACCAGTGTCATCGGTGGGACATCCATCTTCACACTTGACTGGATGGACCTCACTGGTCACGACTTCTCACTGGAACTCCAGGAAACTCCGTCCTGTATCAAGTTACTAACGAGCATCAGATAAATTTTTCAAGATTTGGTTTGTAGTGATTAGATTTACAATTTTCTTGTAAATATCTGTATAAGAGGGGAGTATTTTCCTTCTGAGATGGGTTAAACTGTGTTGACAGCTATGAAACTTGAAAAATGATACGTTTCAATGTAATTTGCAAGTATTTTCCGTTACATCAGAGTTTCACTATTAAGAAAATTATTATTATGAAATCCTGTAACCAATCAATCAAATACCTACAAACCAATACTTGAATATCAATGAGACACTCACTGGTGACTTGCCCTATTCAGGTAGGTAGTTACCTAGGGTTTCAGGGGGAAGCCGTGACCAGTAGGGTGCAGCAGGTCAAGTGTGACGACAAATACTCGCCGAAGACATTGGCTAGCGGTTGCGCTTTATCGTGAATTGGCAGAAGTTAGAATTCATGCACTGACTGGCCTTTGGATCGGGTTCCAGTGGCTCAATAGTCTACGAGCTCGCCGTGTAACCAGAAGGTCCTGGATTCGAGCCCTGCGGGTGGGTGGGTACTGATGGAGAGTCTCAAACTAGGACGAAACAGCTGTCCAGTACTCCCAGACTTTCCAATGGTTCTCTAACCAATGTCAGCTCATGATGAAATCCTGTAAACAATCAACCAAATCCCTACAAACCAATGCTTGAATAAATTTTTTTTCTCGTAAATTAACGGCGTTTAGATGTTGAATACACTGTAGGTTCTATCGTCCAATGAATGATATGCGTTCAAGGCTATTGATGCGTTCAGACTATGTGGTCGCTGTTGTTTAACTCTGCCTTAAATATTACATCTTTTCAATGAAGTCTATATTGAATTATAATTTTGATATGATATTTCAAAGGGTATTATTTTAATTTTTTTCAAAAACCAACAACATTCATGCTTCTTACGTTTTTCTTTTAATTTCTGCTTTTAAAGAATCGGTATTATGCGGATTGTATGAAAAACGTTTACTGAAGTATTTATTCGATCCTACTCGACCAGATGCACACAATCCAATTGAACGTCCATCAGCGAATGATACAGAAACTTTGAATGTCAGTGTGAAATTTTTCTTGAATCAAGTTATGGATGTGGTAAGTGTATCGATTATTTTAGAGATTTTCAGTTATTTATTACGATAATGACTAAGCGATTGAGTTTGGACATAGAACAATGCACAGAGGTGCAGCACTTCAAAATACCACACAAAAGTATCGGAAAGAGCTAACGAAGAGATTCAAAAGAGCCGTCTTTGGTAGAAGGCTATGGCAGAAAGAATAAAAATATGTAAAAAAATTTGAAGATTTAATGAATATGGAACAATCACAAACAGTGAGTGCATCTCCACCGTCACTGAGAACGATTTTGAGCCATATATCACCAACAGTCTTCAGGTATTGGTTCTTATCACCCCAAAGACCCAAGCCAAACTGGTAGTCTACACCTGTTTACATGCCTGGCTCAAATAGGAAGTGAGGGGCTTCATGGACTCAGTGTTTGCTGATGTCAGCGTGCTTAGTAAAAGTACCCTAGGAATAGAATCGAAAGCATCAGCGTAGTCTAAAAAGAAGGTATGAACAACCCTCCCGCCTTTATCGACTTGAAACATTATTGTAGTGGAGTACAACGACACCATCTAATATGCTCCTACTGCATTTGTAAGCGAACTGCTTCGGGTCATTCAGAGATTTCAAAGAACATTTATGAACATGCAAAAGAAGTTTCTCCATATCAATACATTAATATATCTGAAAGAAGCAACCTCCTTTGCCCACCTACCTACATGGGAAGCATCGTTTCAACTACAGGCGGACGGAACTGATGAGGATATCAAGGCGAGGATCGAGAAAGAAAGGCAAGCGTTCATTATTCTCAAGTCTGTGTGGAGATCAACAGCACTCAGCACGAAAAATATGCTCCTGATTTACAACTCCGAAGTGAAGTCAGTGCTACTCGCCCTACGGATCAGAGACTTGGCGCCGCGTCATAAAGGGCGCTTCGAACAAACTACAGTCTTGACTCAATACTACTCAAGATGAGATGGCCGGCCAGAGTAGATCAGCAACAGGGAGGGATCTCTGGCAATGAGCGAACCAATCCAGCAGGAAACACTTGTGCAACAAATATGGTAGAAGAAATGGAGGTGGATTGGTGACCATTCTCTGAGAAAACCATAAAGTGAGTGATATCACACGCCAGGATGTAGCTCAAGTGGAATCCGAATGGGAGGTGGTGAGTTGGTCATCAGTGCGACGGTGACATGGAGAAGGTCATGTGACGAGGAAATGAAAGCATGTGGGTAGACGTGGAGCCAGGTGAAAACGTTGGCAGAGAACCGAACGCGCAATGGAGACGTACGGCTGAAGTCCTATGTTCCTCTAGAAATTAAAGGAAACAATAAGAATAATATATTAATATACGTAATCCACAAAAAGTGTCTTTTTCTATTCCACTGCCACTAATCTAGCCACTGCAAACTACGCAATAAAACTCATTTGTATTATTCTACTGAAGGAAATATAATCCTGAGATAGAAAAGCGAAAGTAACTTCAATAAAGAGTTAAGCAATTCAATTTGAAACCCACCTAATCTATACATTCAGTGTCTTTCAATACTTTCATTTTGTTTTAATTCATCATCAATATCATCACATTTGAACACACACGAAAAATTCCAAAAGTATGAAGATAGTTTGAACGAATTAAAACGATCGACTTGATTTAAAAGTTATTTTTTACTTGAATAACGAAAAAATAAAGCCAGGTCTTAAAAAATGTTAATTAAATCTTACTGTAAAGATTTTATTTATTTATTTTTTCATTCCTTTTTTCCCCTTTGTTTCTAAACGATTGAACGTTGAATAACACCCTTTACTTATTGTTATTGTCTTGCATTTGTCAGTGTATATATATTTCAGAGACAAAGACAGAGTTAGTTAGATAGATAGATAGATAGATAGATAGATAGATAGATAGATAGATAGACAGATAGATAGATAGATAGATAGATAGATAGATAGATAGATAGATAGATAGATAGATAGATAGATAGATAGATAGATAGATAGATAGATAGATAGATAGATAGATAGATAGATAGATAGATAGATAGATAGATGAGTTCATTGTCGTTTGTTAAAATCTGATAATTATTTTGTCAATACGATGACTGCACTGTATATTTAGAGAAAAACAAAATCACTTGGTACATCGTCGTTTATTTTTCCCACTGTTATTTCTCATATCTACATATTTTTCCATTTTTACGAGTTTTTAAGGATACTGCTTGTTTAAATGATATGGAAGAATTAGGGATGGTTTTTTAAAATATTAATTGAACTAAGAAGGTAGTAGTAGTAGTGGTAGTAAGGTGTTCTGCACTTCTGACAATATCTTATGAGTTGTATATTGTATGTGTAATACCTTCTGCAAGAATAATGAGTAGTACAGCCAAAGATTTTATTTCGCAGAGAAGAAATCAGAGAAATCTGTATAACAATGTCAAGGGTTTGAAAAGAAGAGAAAAATAACACACAACTAGACAGCTATTGAAAACCAAGGGGAACTAGACAGCCAGCTTTTACCTCCTAGTCTGGCATTCTTCGGTAGTATACAACTGACGACGTCCGAACCTAAAACCTTCTGGTTACAAGACGAGGTCATAGACCATTCAGCTTATGGTACCCAATCCAAAGGTCCATGATTTCCCACTTCTATCAGTTCAGGATATTTGGCGCGACCACCAGCCAGCATCATTGCTGGTGAGTAGTATTTGTCCTCAGTTCTGATTCGATGGACTCAACTGGTCACGATTTCTTCCTAGAACTGCAGGCGACTTCGCTTTTTAGACAGTCACTAGCGAGTATCAGATTATTTTTCGATAGTTAACTTGTAAGGATTTAATTTGTCTCATGTTTTATCACGGATTGATATCAGTTAGATAACCACTGGAAAACAAACAGGGGTTATTGGACAGAAGTTTCATTATAGTTCGGGACTCTTCAGAGATATGCACCCGCCGGAGTTCAAACTCCATCAGGTCTTATTGAAAGAGATGGGTTTAGCATTTTGGCGACACTGCATGTTATTTTGCCGGATCAACAACCGGCCATCAAATAATGATAATAATGTTAGTCGCATTTTCCATACTTGCTAATACTGAGACAATTTTATTCAGGTGGGGAATCACTAGAAACAACAGAATAGTCGACAACTGATTCACTTGATAGTTCACCATTCGTCATCAGAATGCACAATTCCATATGAGAGATCCGTCTACAAATCACTAGGTTCTGCTGAAATAATTGGGTTTTTAGTACAACGAGACTCCGTTGTAGCTCTTGTAGACAATGTAGGCTTCTGATTTGGTTGCCTTCTCTAAAGTGGTTGATTTAATTGAGAAGCTGACATTGTCCTGCCAGACAGCATCTCTAGTGCTTACTTCCATTAGGAGTGAGCATATCTGAATTCTTTATGGATGATATAACTGTCTCTTCTGATGATCTGAACTGGAATTGGTCTACCTTAGAATCTGTATTATCCTTGTATCACTTCATTGACCTGTTATTCGGCCAAAATGGATGTCCACCTTTGATTTTGAATTCAAGAACACCAGCTAGCCTTCAGAAGACTTGATGTGTATTCTAATGCTTCAGTACACGTAGACAACTATGGACATCATTTGGACTAGTAAAGTGTGAAAATTTCAAACAGCAAAAGCACAATTATTGCTCCAAAATTCCTGGCTATCTGACACGGATCAATCTTTGCTTAACAGACAAGTTGACACTAATCAAACTCATCAGTCAATAATGAATGAATCACTTGGCTAAGAGATCAGATACCAGGCCAACAAAAGGATCAGTGACATTACAAACAGACACAAAGATAAGAGAACTTCTAAAGACAATGACTCACAATCGAAGCTGTGACTTTAGGAGAGACATTTATGTCATTCATGCAGAATTCTACTGAGAAAAAAGTCACTTCACATTGAACTAAGTACTGAAGATGTTGTGTCAAGTGGCACCATGTAACATTTGTAATCAAATACCTCAAACTCAGAGACTACAAGCAGATCGAAGGTATCCACTTCAGCTACCCATTGTTATCATTATTATTCTCTTGCGTTCCGCATGGAAAATAGGGCGTTGATAGTACATCTCAATGTCATCCTATTCCCTGAAATACCTTTTCACTAGGCCTCATGATTGCCCACAAGATATCATTTCCATCTCAAACGATTTTTTCCACATTAGCGTCTAAGTGCGTCGGTGGCATAGCGGTTAGGACGCTCGCCGACCATGCACATGGTCCGGGGTTCGATCCCCGGCCACCGAAGCACTCCTTCACCTTGCTAAGCCAGAAATAATGCTGGTGAAGAGGAAAGGTTGGGCATGAGGCTAGCAACCTCATCCTGTAAAATAAACACTGCTACAGAAACTTCAAGCCACTAGCTTGAAGCCCTATGTTCCACTGGGGAACGTGAAGGAAAAAAAAAAGCGTCTAAGCATTCGAAATGCTCTGCATTACACGCACATTTTGCTTTTCTCATCCTGCCTCTGAAATCTCCATCCATGCCAGCTCTGTAGTTGAAACGATGTTTTCTGGCTAGGTCGCTGTCGTTTTAGGATAGGTATCTTCACTACCTCTGTCTTGTCTGAGTTCAAATGAAGTCATATCTTCGCCGCCCTACTTTTTTTGACAACTGGTTGTTTTTCGCCTGTATTATTATTATTATTCCCTTGGGTTCCGAGTGGAACATAGGGCTTCAACTACAAATCTCCACTTTCTTCTATTTTCGGCCATCCTCTTCAGCTGGCTAGCTCCACTATTGCCCACACTCTTTCATCTCTTCCTCACACGATGTCCTCCATGTTACCCCCGCACTGACAACCCACTCATCGCTTTCCATTTGGATTCCACTACAGCAATGGCCTGAATTGCGCGAGATGTCATTCGAAGGCCTCTTCAATGTATGCCCCATTCAACTGCATTTCCTCCTATATATTTGTTAAGCAATCGGCTCTTGGTCGGTTTGTTACCAGCTAGAGTTTCTTTTTACTAATTCTTTCTAGCCATTTGATCTTCAGTATGGAGCCAGCGAAGTTGGCAGTTGTTGTTGAAAGTCTGCAACCTGTTGGATATGATTTTCGTGACACGTAGTGCAAGTTTCTGACCCGTATGGAAGAACCAACTTGACATCGGTGTTCAAAATCCGAATCTTGTTCCTTGTGTAGAGTGAGAGCAGAAGATTTCCAAACTGGTTTCACGTTGATGAAGGCGTATCTCGCCTTTCTGATTTTGGCTGGTTTTGAAATCCTCATCCTTTCCGAGTGCCTATAGTTGAGACCACGCTTCCTAGTGAGATAAGTGAAGGTGGTGACCTCTGTTAAATCCCTCCCAATGATGGTGATTGGTGCTGGTTATTGTTGTTGCTGCTGCTGCTGCTGGTTGGTTGGTTATCTTTATCATCTCCATCTTCTCTGTGTTCACCTGGAGTCCTGCCTCTTCAGCCAGTCTGTTGGTTTTCGCCAGAGTAGATTTTCTAATTTATATGATATTAGACATAAACAGTTCGTAAAGTCAAAATATTGCAGTGTCGCGTTGTTTCTCCAATCTACGCCTATCTTCTGTCGCTTTACTGTTTGCTACATGACCCAGTCGATCACAATTAGGAATATCATCGGTGATAGTAAACAGTCTTGTCTTATTCCTATCTCCACTTCGAAGTCTTCACTGAACCTTCTGTTGTGAATCACTTAATGTGCAGCACTGTCACATAACTGTTGAGCGTGACTAGTAACGGTTTAAGGCACGTTAAATTGTTGGACCATTTTCCAAATTACTTCACAGTCACTACTGTCGTAGATCTTTCTAAATTCAATGAGATTGAGGTAAAGAATTGGCTGGCATTCCATGTTCTGTTCGATGATGATGCATCGAAGTACACATGTTTTCCATTATATCACATAGTTCATTCATTTGCGTATATTTATTGTGTATTCTTTTTAAATTCCAGGATGAAAAGAATCAAGTGCTGACAACGATTATTTGGATGGATCTGGTAAGTACACTTTCACTTGTTGAAAAATTAGAATGAATGAGATTAAATTGATTTATCTTACTAATAAAACCTACTTACTTGTAATTATTTAGAATGATGAATTAAACAACAGGTACATTTATTTCAGTATTAACGTCTTTGGAATAATAATAATAATTTGCTTTATTCCAAAACAGTACTTGTGATACAGAATGGAATTCTCAGCATTTTTCTACGGTACTGCATCCAGTTAGTACATTATCAATAAATAAAATTCTACATAGACTAAGGAAATCTCAGTTCATTATGACAACAACATATTGGCATGTCAGTAGCAAAGCCAAAGTTGAACAGTGTTTGAAGGTGTTAGAATAGTAGGTGCTATCATATTTACTGGCGTAAGCGAGAGAAAGAAGCAAAGCAGCACATAACAGAAAAAAAGAGAAAAGGAAAAGAAAGAAAGAAAACGTTGTACCTATAAATGATATGAGTTGGAAAGACGAGATCCAGTTGTTCTACTGACTATTTAATAAAAATTATAGGTGTCACGCCTAATGCTTTCTTTGTCGCACAGAACACGAGCTAAGTAGGGTATGGTTGAGTTTTTGTACTTGCTGGTGCGAGCATATAGTTTTGCTACATAGGCTTCTCGTTTTACCTGATGAGATGCAGGGGGAGAGTTGTGAGTGAAGAGGGTGCTGTGAGTTAGATCAAATGGATTTGGCCCATTTTTCACATGAGTCCATGTGCCTGTCAAGCAGAATATTAACAAGCTGGTTAAGTGGCACGTCGCTTACCCTACTGACAACATTTAACATCCTGCGTAATATGTTATAGTCTCTTCAGTAGCCCGAGAAAAACTAAGGGGGAACAATAGAGAATAATAGGCAGAATGCGAGAGTTAACGAATCGTACGAGTAAGGGTTGGGTTATACCAGAATGTCTTAACTTCTTGATGTAGAAGGTCTTTGACTTTAGCACTCCATGTCACGTGTTTGAATCTCAAAGAGGACATATTTTTAGAGAAAAGAAACATGCCTCTTCACATCTCTACGTCTCCCATTCTCTACACAACCTCTTATTCATGAAAATGTCAAAGAAAATGTTCCATTGTTGGCAATATCTGTATACATACATCAGTTCGCTTGCTCTTGCGGAGCTAAACTCGTCGACCGTACTAGTAGGATATTGTCTGGACATGTACAAGAAAATCCCCTATTATGCTTGTCTATAGCAGAAATTAGACAAACCAATAGTTTTATTTCTGAGAACCTTGTTCCTAATAATCATTTTGTAGCAATAGGAAAATCCTTCCAAGAGATATCTAAGCTTATGGCCAAATTGTTCCAAGGGGTTTTGTTTTGTATCTTCTCTCTACAATAAATGTTCCTGCTGTATACAGAGTAGATTTTGAGCTAAGTATAGACAAGAGGTTCGTCCGACCCTCTAGAGGTTTTTTGATATGTGTAATAATTCGTTGTGTAATCCACATTCATTTATTTTTCCTGCTCTTCTTTCCTTTCAAACTCTTAACTGTAAATTGTGGTTTGTAAACATTCTGTGTTAAACTTTCCTAACAAAAACTGTATTTTTAAGATAAATACTGTGATGGTACCTTAACATTAAGTGGTGGCTTAACTAAACTACTGAGCTACCTGGATTTCTATTTAGCATAGAGTTTGAAGGGGAAACATGAGCAAGACATGGTTGCCTACTACCACCGATGATATTCCTGATTTTGGTAGACTAGGGCATGCGGCAGGCTGTGAGGAGTAAGAATGCAAGAATACGTTTGACAAACAAGAAGACTGTAAAAAACTAGACTTCATGGAGGATTTATGTCCAATGCCACACATACTCGAAGATCTACAAGCGAAATCCAATAAATGGACAGAAGAGATATGTAGTAAAGACAGAACGGGACTTCAAGTGAACAAAGAGAAGACAGAGGTGTTGAAGATACCCACCGACCGACGGCGACAACAACAAGCATTAGTTAACACCAGTGGGAGAAATTTAGGAGAGTTCACTTCACTTACCTAGCCAGACAGCATCGTTTCAACTATAGGCAGAGGCATGGATGAGGGGGTTAAAGCCATGTAGGATCAGAAATGTGAGACAAACCTCCATTATTCTAGAATCAGTGTGGAAAACTCTTACCCTCAGCTCAAAGAACGAGATTGCTATTTCCATCATTAATGTCAAGTCAGTCACTGCCTCTCTGCAGTCCAGAGACTTGGCGCACGCTCCACGTAAAGCATTTCCAGGCTTTTATGAATAGCTGCCTTCGCTCCATACTGAAGATGAGGTGTCAAAAAAAGGATTATCAGCTGAATAGTCACTGGTCATCAATGTGGAAATCCTTGATACTTAGCACAAGTATTAAGATCCTTACATTCAACATTAATTTCAGGTGAGCGCTCCTACATAGTTCAAAGACTTTTGAAGTGCAATCACTGAAGGTATTTCCAACGAGGGACTTCCAACTTCCATCAACACCAACCTTTGTTTGTTCGATACCGAAAAAAAGAGAAACTACATGGAATTCTAACAACTAACCAGCCAAGAACCAACAGACCAAGAAATATACCGAAAGGAATAGAGATGGAATGGACGTAAACTGATAAGACAGTTGAGTGCCATTAAACACCAGTCAGGCCCTCAAGTAAGATTGTAGTGGAAAACGATGAGTTAGCAGTGACTTCAAGGGTGACATGGAGAAGATGGGATTAAACAAAAAATGTTTTACAGGACTGAATGTTGATTCTGATGAAATAACGTTTCTTTATACGACACACTGTCGATGAATACTGTTTTACTTCAAGATTCTATACAATATGCAATTATTTTGCAAGAAATTACTCCAAGAATTCTCTATTGTGTGTGTGTGTGTAAACATAATTCACAGAGTAAAGTTGTTATTAGTTAGAATAAAGAAAGAACGAACATATTTGCAGACAGGATAATACGAACTCGTTTTATTTCTTCAATTCTCTCTCTTCAACCGCGTCGTACGTCACAAATAAATCAATTATTTGTTACAAAATGATGTGTAAACATACTTTTTACAACGATTTCAAGCGACATAATTTCGAAGACGATGTGAGTAGATAATTATTTAGTGTTAAAAGAGAGTAACTATTTATGTAGTAATCAGAGAAAGGGGGGATGTAGGGTTCAGATTTCGCTTAGAAACAAGGATAAACTAAACTACAAACAAAATACAAGATAGAACAACAAGGTTAATTTATACATATTATGATGGAGAGTTCAGGAGGGTGAGGATGAATAGTGAAGTAAAATTATAAGTTAGGTAAAACAATTTAATTTAGTAGATTTGAAACCCTAATACTGAGATCAACTCAGTTAGTGAAAAACAGATTCAAGATTGAGTGTAATGTTATGCAATAGGACAAAACACAAAAGCACAATACCCTGTTAACCATAACTGTTTTGTTCGTGTGCTCAGTGGTAACGTCTCTGACTGCATGCGGCAGTGAGTAACGCTGGTTCGAATCTCAGAAGGGACATCAGTTCCTTCAAGGTTGCAGATACGCCTTGCTGACTGACTAGTGAGTGCCAACTAGCTCGAAACCTAGGTCAGGCAAGGTTGCCGATTGCCTCTAACCACCTAATATCAACAACTCAAAGTACACCGTGATTGTGAGCCATCTACAATGGTGGCCAAATTACAAACGTGACTGACAGAATTCAGTGTGCACCGAACAGAGGACTAAGTACATTACACTAGTTGCTAACTAGTGTCCAATCAAAAGTATGAATTAACCTTGTCGTTCCATCGTGTATTTTGTTTCTAGTTCATCCTTGTTTCCAAGCAAAATCTGAACTCTACCTACCCCCTTTTTCTAATTACTCTCTTTTAACACTGAATAACTTCTCACTAGTGACTTGCCAGGGTACAGAGTTTCTTGGATCAGTTCTAGTGAGAAGTCGTGACCAGTAAGGTGCAACCAGTCAAGTGTGAGGATGGATGTCTCACCAATGACACTGGCTGGTGGTCGACCCAAATATCAATAAGTGGTAGAAGTTAGAATTAATGAGCTGTCCATTGAATTGATTCCCTGTGGCTGAACGGTCTACGAGCTAGCTTGCCTTGTAACTGGAAGGTCCTGGGTTCGAACACTGGTAGTGGTTGCGTGCTTCCGATGGTTCTCAAACTAGGATGAAACATCTGTCCAGTACTCTAGTGCTGCTTTTCAATGGTTCTCTAAATGATATCAATCCGTAGTTATACTCGTAAATAATTATTTAATTACATTATCTTTGAAATTATGTTGCTTATACTTTCTATCTATAACTTGAAATCATTGTAAAAGTGTGCTCAGGAACCATTTTCTAACATATAATCGATTTATGTAGAATGTACGATGCAGTTGAAGAGAGATGGAATTGGCGAAATAAAATGAGCTCATATCATCCTGTCTGCAAATATGTTTATCCTTTATTTAATTGAATTTTAGATTTTCCCGTCGATTGATTGGACCGAAATGCTTGTTCTCAGGCTGACATGTCGGCTTCTTGTACAGATGGTTCGACTGTGTCTGGGCATGTAATTCGAATTTAATTGGTGGATGGTGACTAGCAGTGGAGATCGAGCACTTCGGTCCAATCAATGGACGGGAAAATCTAAAATTAAATTAAATTAACATGACCCGTTTCACGAGAGGTGACTCTCGTGAACATCACCACTCACTGGGGGATGCAGGTGCATCCACTGGCTGACGAGTCCCAAATAGGGTGAATTGCGCGTTATCCTGGATTCCACTGCTAGTCAACATCCACCAATTAAATGTTTATTCTTTGTTTATTCAAACTAATAAAGTCAACCGGCTGTATGAAAGTCGTTATTATTATTAATAATAACTGAATGTCACCTAGAGAACATTAAGTACCTGTTTCACTACACTATATATGCTCAATGCGTCGGTGGCACAGCAATTAGGGCGCTCGTCGACTACCCACATGGTCCGGGGTTCGATCGCCGGCAACCAACGCCCCCT